CCTGAGTAGCTACAACCGGTTGGGCCGGATGTGCCCCCGACGTCTGAAGTCCCTGCATGACCTGCTCAGGTGTGCGAGCGGCGGGAGTCTGATTGCCTCCCCCGTCCTGAGAAGTAGTTGTGGCTGTAGTGGCTGAGACCGCCTGAGCTAGGCCAGTGCAAATCGATATAATCTGAACCAAGGCCTCCTAATGACCCAAAATCACAATAGGAACAGCTGGTGCCTGAGCTGGTATTGCTGGAGCGTCCATAACTGGGACCTGATCCTGAACTAGGGCGACTGGTGGAGCTGCAGGTGCTGCCCGAGCTACTGTGCAGGCCACACCCCTGCCTCTACCACGACCACGACCGCGTCTTCAGCCTCTAGTGGCCACAGTTGGTGGTACTGGTGGTCGTCCACCCTGACCGGTAGCGCGTGTCCTCACTATCTGTGAGAGAATAGAATAACAGAAGTTTAGTACTCGGATCAACAAATTCACACGACAAGAATTTCAAGAATATGAGGTTTCTCCTAAAGGTTTTGTAGCCTCCCGAGGATAAATGTAGATGTCTCCATACCGATCCGCGAGACTCTACTGAACCTGCTATGACTCGTGAGACCTATGTAACCTAGGCTCTGATACCAACATATCACGACCCTAAACCCGGACCCGGTCGTGATGGCGCCTCTCGCGAAGACAAAGCCAGCCCACACACTCCCATTTCAATTTTAAGCAATTTAAAATAATAAGAATTAAGTCTTAAACATCATAATAATAATCCCAAAATGATAAGTAGTGAACATTACAGTTTGCGGAAATAAAACCCAACACAACCCGATACCGGGGTATCACCAGTCATGAGCATCTATCAATATACTACAACTCCGATGTCTGTCGTGAGCTCTCAACTCTCGCTAGCAGGATCGGCAACGCCTGAATCTGCACACGGGGTGTAGGGAGTAAAGTGAGTACTCCAGCTCAGTGAGTAATAATCATAAATAAAGACATAGAGCAAGAAATCACGTAAGGCACATTATAGGCTATAAGGAAGCAGTAAAAGCCAGTAAAAAAAGTAAATTAGTGAAGATATGTAAAATCATTTTAGTTCAGTTTAAACTTCATAAAATGCCTTTTTTACAATTAAGCAAGTAAATTGACAGGCAATTAGGAAAGATAAACACATAAAGGATCGCCCCTCAGGCACAGTGTCAAAAAATCCGCCCCTCGGGCAATATCTCAGAAACAATACCAGCCCCTCGGGCTATATCTCACATCACAATGGGTACCCGCACTCGCTGGGGGTGTGCAGACTCTTGGAGGGGCCCCTTACGGCCCAAGCGCAATATCAAGCCATCTCGTGGCATCATCACTAGGCTCTCGACCTCATATCAACAAGCCACCTCGTGGCGTACGAATCTCAGGCCCTCGGCCTCATAATCATAATCAGGTGTTTCCACACAACATAGGCCCTCGGCCTTACTCGGTCAGAATCTCACAAGCCACTCGGGCAACAGTAAAACATGGTGCTCAGCCCAAAATATCATTTAAAATATCATTGAAGTGTTAAAGCAGAGTAAACATGACTGAGTTATGAAAAACAATAGAGTCTAGCATTAATGAGTTTAATTATAAAGTCAAAACAGTGAGGAAATATCAACAAAAATCCATTAAGGGTTCAGATAGTTGGCACGAGGCCCAAACATGGCATTCATCCAAAACATGATGGTAGCAAATAGTTTTTAGTCAAATACGCGGTAAAAGAGTCATTCGGGACGGACTAAGTCACAATCACCAACAGTGCACGACCCCACGCTCGTCATCTAGTGTGTGCGTCACCTCAATATAGCACAACGATGTGCAATCCGGGGTTTCATACCCTCAGGACATCATTTACAATCATTACTCACCTCTACCAAATCCAAATCTCTAGCTCGCGATGCCTTTGCCCCTCGAATCGGCCTCCGGATGCTCCAAATCTAACCAAAATCAGTGCAAAACCATCAAAATATGCTAAGGGAACAAAGCCCACTCGAAATAAATCAAATTACAACACAAATCCTGAAATTGGCCAAACCCGACCCCCGGGCCCACGTCTCAGATTCCGATTAAATATACATTGATGGACTCCTTATCACTCGCCGAGTTCATTCATACCAAAAGCATCAAAATCCAACCACAAACGACCCCTCAAATCCCAATTTCTAGGTCTCTAATTTCAAGCCCAAGTTCTTTAATTTTAGGCCTAATTTCCATGATTAATTAGGTGGAATTCACATTAGAATCGAGTATTAAGTCCATGAATCTTACCTCCAAGTGTTTCCCCTTGAATCCCTCATTAATCCTCTTCAAAAAGCTCCAAAATCGCTCAAAAATGGTGGAAATAAACCCCGAAATCGCGGACAAGACGACTATTTAAACATTCTGCCCAGGCCTCAATTACTTCTACGTGAATGCGGTCAACGCCTCGCGTTCGCAAAGCACAATCCAACTTTATTAAAAATCCTCTTACGCGAACGCGACATGCCCATCGCGAACGGGATGGTTCCTCAGACTAACTCTTCGCAAACGCACTCCCTTTCTTGCGAACGCGATGAACAATTCGACCTCAAACATAACTGACCAATTTCCCCTATGCAAACGTGACTCCACCTCGCGAACGCGATGAATCACCTCCCAGCCCCTTCGCGAACGCGGAGCCTTCCTCACGATCACAAAGGCTAAAAATCTCAGCCTCCTCAACTAACCCTTCACGAACGCGAGGACCTACTCGCGAACGCGAAGGTCAAATTCTCTGCAACATTTCACCAGTTTTTCTGCAATTTTCAACATCATGAGATGGTCCGATTGACCACCCGAAACTCACCCGAGGCACCCAGGACCAAACATGCTAACATATCCCATAACATCATTCAAACTTATTCCAACCTCTGGAACGCTCAAAACAACATCAAAACACCAAATTTGCATCGGATTCAAGCCTAAGAATTCCAAAATCTTCTAAATTACGCTTTTGATCAAAAATCCAACCAAATCACGTCCGAATGACCTAAAATTTTTCACACACATCCCAAATGACACAACGGAACTACTGCAACTCTTGGAATTCCATTCTGACCCTTATATCAAAACCTCACCTATCAACTGGAAAATGCCAAAAACTCAATTTCGCCAATTCATGCCTAAATCAACTCCGGACCTCCAAAATACATTCCGATCACGCTCCTATGTCCCAAATCACCTCCCGAAGCTATCCGAACCATCAGAAATCACATCCGAGCCCTCTAACATATAAGTCAACATCCAGTTGGCTTTTCCAACTTAAGCTTCCTCAAAAGAGACTAAGTGTCTCAAACCTTACCAAATCCTTTCCGAACCCGAGCCAACCAACCTGATGAGATATAGAACCAATAGACAAAGCAATAAGAAGCAGAAATGGGAGAACCGGAGCGGCAACTCATGATGACTGGCCGGGTCATCACACTCAGCTAGATGTTTTCTGAAGTGAATATGATCCAGGCTAGTGAAGGCACTAGTCATGTCGATATGCAACTAATTGGCCCAGACACCAAGCTCAACAACTGGGAAGCAACTCCTCTCCCCACAAAGAAGGAGTCTTGGTGGTTTGCTTTTGCAGGTTATTTTTTGTATTTTGGGTTACTTTCAGGGTTGTAATCCAAACATCTCAGTATGATTGTTTTGTTTTGATGTTAACCCTTCTATCCTTTCAAATTCAATGAAATGCAGTTCAGTTTCATATTAAGTTTTGTATATTTTCCTTTTCCTAATTCCGGTCATTTTGTTTCCATTTTAGTTTTTTTAATGCCGGATTTAATAACATGACATGCATGCTGAATTCACGCCCAGATCTTAAAAAGCTATCTAATTTCGAAATAATGCATCAAGAGGTTGAGTATGATGAAGATAAGTTTGTTGAGGAAATAAAAAGAGAGTTGGAACAATTTGAAAACAAGCCTAAGCCCAACCTCAATGAAACTGATCCAATTAATATTGGAAGTCATAAAGAAGTTAGAGAAACGAAGATAAGCATTCACACTGAACAAAAAACCAGAGATGCCTTGATTCAATTTTTATTTGAATACAGAGATGTATTTTCTTGGTCATAGGATGATATGCCGGGTTTAAGTGTTGATCTAGTAGTTCATAAGCTTCCTACGTATCCTGATTTTCCACCGGTCCAACGAAAGCAACGAAAATTTAAAACAGATATGAGTGACAAAATTAAAGAGGAAATAATGAAGCAACTAAGCGCCAATGTGGTTAGAGATGTCTGATACTCCGTTTGGGTGGAAAATATTGTGCATGTGACAAAGAAAGATGGAAAAACTTGAGTCTGTGTTGACTACAAGGACCTGAACAAAGCATGTCCAAAGGATAATTTTTCTTTACCAAACATCCACATTCTTGTAGATGATTGCGCAAAGCATGAGATACAATCATTTGTGGATTGCTATGCTAGGTACCACCAAATTTTAATGGATGATGACTATGTAGAAAAGACCACTTTCACCACTCCATGGGGTACTTATTGTTACAGGGTCATGCCATTCGGTTTAAAGAATGCAGGGGCAACTTACATGAGGGTCATGACAATTATTTTTCATGACATGATCCACCAAGAGATTGAAGTATATGTCGATGATATTATCATAAAATCAAAGACACAGGCTGATCACGTGCGCGGTTTGAAAAAGTTCTTCCAACAATTTCGAAGGTATGACCTTAAGCTTAATCCAGTCGAGTGTGCATTTGGGGTTCCATCTGGGAAACTCCTCGGTTTTACAGTCAGCCGGAGAGGCATCGAATTGGATCCATCTAAGATAAAGTCCATTCAAGATCTTCCACCCCCGAAGAACAAAAAGAAAGTCATAAGTTTGCTCGAGAGGTTGAACTACATCAGTAGGTTCATTGCTCAGCTCACAACCACGTGCGAGCCTATCATTAAGTTGCTGAAAAGGGATGTTTCTATCAAGTGGACGGACGATTTCCAAAATGCTTTGACATGATCAAAGATTATCTGTCAAAACCCCCTGTAATGGTCCCTCCTGAACCTGGTAGACCTTTGTTTTTATATCTATCAGTGATGGATAATTCATTTGGATGCGTTCTGGGGTACCATGATGCAACAGGCAAAAAGGAACAGGCAATCTATTATTTGAGTAAGAAGTTCACCACTAATGAGTTTAAGTACACCTTTTAGAAAGGGCGTGTTGTGCCTTGACTTGGGTTGCTCAGAAGCTGAGGCATTATCTTTTGGCCTATACTACTTACCTCATATCTAGAATGGATCCTTTGAAGTACATCTTCCAAAAGCCAATGCCCACTGGCAGGCTCGCAAAATGGCAAATTTTGCTCACAGGGTTCGACATCGTCTATGTCACTCGCACCGCAATGAAAGCACAGGCTTTGGCAGATCATTTGGTAGAGAATCCAGTTGATGATGAGTGCAAGCCACTTAGCACATACTTCCCAGATGAAGAACTCAACTCAATTGAGGAAGTAGTTTCAGACGACAGCTATGTATGGAAAATTTTGTTTTGATTGGGCTGTCAATATCAAAGGAGTTGGGATCGGGGCAATCCTCATCCCACGTATCGAACAACATTACCCCGCAACGGCCCGACTTCGGTTCTTCTGTACCAATAATACAGCAGAATACAAAGCTTGTATAATGGGTCTGAAAATGGCCATCGATCTAGATGTGCATGAACTTTTGTTCCATATAAACAATGTGTGCAAGACTTGAGCAAAAGATTCAAATCCATCGAGTTTAGGTACATTCCTAGGTTTCATAATGAGCTAGCCGATGTCTTGGATACTTTAGCCTCAATGCTCGCTTATCCAGGCAACACTCATATTGATCCACTAGAAATCCAAGTTTGGAATCAACATGGTTACTGCAATACAATTGAGATAGAACCAGATTGTGAAGCATGGTATCATGACATAAAACGATTCTTGAAAATAAGAGAATACTTGGAGCATGCCAAAGGAGATCAAAAAAGAACTATAAGGCGGCTCACCGATGGTTTTTTCCTAAATGGGGAAATTTTGTACAAAAGAACCCTAGATTTAAACTCATTGAGATGTATAGATTAAACATAAGCTGCACGGATCATGAGTGAAGTGCATTCAGGGGTATGCGGACCTCACATGAATGGATATGTTTTGGCGAAGAAGATTCTACGGGCAGGGTATTATTGGCTTACTATGGATCGAGATTGCTTTAGTTTTGTTCGCAAGTGTCACCAATGCCAGATTCATGGTGACCTAATTCACTCGCCTCCTTCGGAATTGCATCCCATGTCCTCTGCTTAGCCTTTCGTTGCTTGGGAATGGATGTTATTAGGCCAATTGAGCTAAAGGCTTCAAATGGGCATAGATTCATTTTTGTTGCAATTGATTACTTCACCAAGTGGGTGGAGGCCATCACTTTCAAATCAGTCACCAAGAAAGCAGTGGTAGACTTTGTTCATTCCAACATCATATGTCGCTTGAGTATCCCAAAGACTATTATCACTGACAATGCAACCAATCTAAATAGTCATTTGATGAAGGAGGTACGCGAGCAATTTCAAATTATACATCGCCATTCTACCCCTTACCGGCCAAAAGCCAATAGAGCCGTTGAAGCGGCGAACAAGAACATCAAGAAGATTCTTAGGAAGATGATCCAAGGTCCCAGACAATGGCATAAGAAGTTGCCTTTTGCTTTTTTGGGATATCGCACAACTGCTCGCACATCTGTTGGCGCAACTCCTTATCTATTGGTATATGGAACAGAAGCTGTAATACCAGCTCAAGCCGAAATTCCCTCTCTTCGAATCATTGTGGAATCGGATATTGAAGATAGAAAATAGGTCAAGACCCGTTTGGAACAGCTAATGCTGATCGATGAAAAACGGGTAGCAACAGTGTGTTTCGGCCAGTTATACTAGCAAAGACTTGCACATGCTTATAATAAAAAAGTGCACCCAAGGCACTTTGAGGTAGGCCATCTCGTTTTGCAATGCATCCTTCCACACCAGGTAGAAGCTAAAGGAAAGTTCGCACCGAACTAGAAAGGACCCTACATCATCAAGAAAATGTTACCAAAAGGGGCCTTGCACTTGGTAGATGAAGAAGGACGGGTACCAGACATGACTATTAACGCAAATGCAGTCAAAAGATATTATGTTTGATATATACCCACTGCAGAACTTTCACGCATGATTTTCTCAGATCGAGATGACGAAGGCTATCATTTGCTCGTTATTCCAAATAGGTGTCACCCTTTTGTTAACCCTTTTGAGTCGTATTTGACTTCTTTGTTTTCCACTTTCTGGAACCTGTGTACTTGTAGAAGCAAAAAACAAAGTCAAACAACAAATCTTCTAAGTCATTCAACTACGACGATCTGATTTCGAAAGGATACGTAGGCAGCCTTACCCTGGGTTCAGTTCCATCAGATCAAAAATCCACATTCCTTATATTCCAAAACTGGGGCAGATGTTTGTTTTATTTTACGACTTTTCCTATAAAAACGGTTATAAAGGTTGTAATTCAGTTCAAGGTTCCTTTTTTCCTTTTCCTTATTAAGAGCTTTTTATCGATCTTTGAGAATGCTTGAAGTCCCCATGCCAAGAGCGGTGGGCAACCTTCATCATAAAGTATCTTAGTCAAAAAATAATGTGAGATTCTTATTGGTGAAAACCCGTATGGGCGCCATAAGGCAATGGTTAGTAGAGAAATGAGAGAGGCTAGTTAGCGAAAACGCGCAAAGGGCGCTACTAGCCGAATGAGGGTCTTCGATACTCTGGCATGAGCACAACCAAGACAATTTCAAGATGAACATTTGTGATGGATTTTGAGAATTAGACAACTCAGACGGATCAGGCGTCCAGTACAAAATGCATGTAATGATTCATTGAAGTTGGCACATACCTCCAGATAAGTCTCCCTATTACTTTCCCCGAAAGGAACACCTTTTTGTTCAAGCACGGTTCTTTTTCACTTTCAATTATTCTTCTGTTTTTACCCATAATTTTTCTTTGAGTCCCTTTCGATCTAATCTTGCATCAAAAGCGAAGTAAAGAAATGGCTGCAAAATTGGCTATAGTTTCCCCGTAATATCGAGCATAATTTGGGGCATATATGGCATTGATGAAGGCACGAATCCATCTGTGATCTTATTTGGTAAGGCGAACAAATTGTCTCAAAGAAACTGAAAAGGTCGCATAAGCGAGACCTGCTTCAAGAGAAAAGTTGATAATCACTACAGACACAAACTGGTACTGGGTGGAAGACAATTGAGTTTGATTTTAGAGGGAAAAATTGACTTGCCTTAGGGACAAGTTTTAGCAGTACCATGGATATCTGAGTATGAAACAGTCAGGGACAACATCAAAAAAAGAGGTCTGCAGAATGCATACAGAGTATCCGAGCACCTCGATACCACACTGATAGAATCTTTTCTTCAATAGCGGAGTGGTCTTGAGTTCAAACTACAAGAGGGCATCAAGGCCACAAACTGACCACCACTTTGGAAACTCACAAATGTTTCTTTGTTTGAAGCAGGAACAAAGTAGTGTAGAATGGTGATTCTCAAACGGCAAATGTCACCAAACGTAAGCTCCTTAAAATATCCATTTTCTTTTATTTTCAAGACGCATCACTATTGTTCACTCCTCTGTTTTACGTAGCTTAACTCAGGAAGAACCTCTTCGCCTAGGGGGATCCAGCTCATATTGTCGGGTAGAAGTACTTTTCGCTCATGTTGTTTTCACAACATAACTCAGGTAGAACCATTTCGCCTAGGGGGAGCCAGCTCATAGTTCCGGGTAGAAGTACTCTTCGCTCAAGTTGTTTTATGTAGCTTAACTCAGGTAGAACCTTTTAGCCTAGGGAGATCCATCTCATTGTTCTGAGTAGAAGTACTCTTCGCTCAGGATGTTTATGAAGCTTAACTAAGGTAGAACATTTCCACCTAGAGGGATTCAATGCTTTATCAATAATACAGGGTGCCAACCCCTGGTTCCATTTCCCTCCAGTAATATAGGGTATCAACCCCTGGTTACATTCCTTCCAGTAATACATGGTACCAACCCCTGGTTAAATTTCATTCCAGTAGTGCAGGGTACCAAACCCTGGTTACAGTTTTTCTCAGTAATACAGGGTGCCAACCCCTGGTTACATTTCTTCCTAGTGATACAGGGCGCCAACTCCTAGTTACATTCCTTTCTAGAGATACAGGGTACAAACCCTTGATTACATTCCCTTCGAGTAATACAAGGTATCAACCCCTAGCTATATTCCTTCCAGTAATATAGGATACCAACCCCTAGTTACATCTCTTTCCAGTAGAACAGGGTACCAACCCCTGGTTATAGTTTTTCTCAATAATACAGGGCGCCAACCCCTAGTTATATTTCCTTCCTAGTGATATAGGGCACCAACCCCTGGTCACATTTCTTCCCAGTAATAGAAGGTACCAACCCTTGGTTACATTCCCTTCTAGTAATACAGGGTACCAACCACTGGTTACATTTCCTTCCAATAATACAAGGTACCAACCCCTGGGTTACAGTTTTCCTCGGTAATACAGGGTGCCAAACCCTGGTTATATTTCTTCCTAGTGATACAGGGTGCTCCCTGGTTACATTTCTTCCTAGTGATACAGGGCACCATTCCTAGTTACCAACCCCTGGTTATTTCCCTTCCAATAATACAGGGCGCCAACCCCTGGTTACATTCCCCTTTAGTAATACAGGGTACTAACCCCTGGTTACATTTCTTCCAAGCAATAAAGGGTATCAACCCCCAGTTACATTCCTTCTAGTAATACAGGGTACTAACCCCTGGTTATATTCCTTTCCAGTAATACAGGGTACCAACCCCTAGTTATATTCCCCTTCCAGTAATACAGGTACTAACCCCTAGTTACATTCCTCTTTAGTGATACAGGGTACCAACCCCTGGTTACATTTTCTTCCTAGTAATACAGGGTACCAACCCCTGGTTATATCCCCTCTAGTAATACAGAGTACCAACCCCTAGTTACATTCCCTTTCAGTAATACAGGGTACCAACCCCTGGTTACATTCATTTTATGTAATACAAGGTACCAACCCTGGTTACTTTCCCATTCAGTAATACAGGGTACCAACCCTTGGTTACACATCCTCTTGGTAACATAGAGTACATAATCCTTCGTTACAAATTTTATCTCTTTTAGCTAATTTATACTACTGTTTCTGTCTGCCTTTCAATAAATTAGATAGTTTATTGCTTTCATTGATACCTCACAAAATTTTCCTAGTCCAAATTCGGGCAGAAAAATTTTGTTCGCCTTTGATGGCTTTGCAGCCCCTGCCGTAGAGCATATTGACGGTTAAAGCTTGCTGTTTCAATTTTTCATCAGAAGAAAGAAGTCTTTCGATCAAAAAATACTTGGATTTTAGCTTTGATAATATGTCAGCAACCTAGCTTCTCAAGTTTTATTTTCCCAAATTCTGACTGGGAAATCAAGCAATCGAGAATGAGACATAATCTTTTCTTCAAAGAGCATCAAGATCCAATTTAAGGTCAACACAAACGAGTATGTCAAGAATTAAGATTTGACCCCAGGAGACACATAGATAGGAATTTTGTAACTCTTAGCTTGCAGGCATATGTAGTTCTCTTCTTCTTTTGATGTAAGCAGCAAGTAACAGTAACGGCAACAACAACAACAACAACAGTCTTAACTCCAGTGTTCGGTAGTCCCAACTACCAAATTTTTTCAAAACTACACTGACCTGATTCCTTTATCGCCAAGGATATATAGGAAACCTCGGAAGAAAGGTTCAATCACCTTTTTCACAAAAAAAATGCTTTCATTGTAGTGGTGTGTGAGCAAAAATTAGTCATGGAATTCACTTTTCTTTGCACGAAAGCTCTTCATGTTCTCGAGCAAAGAGGGACAGCTGTGAATACCAAATTGTTGATCGCTTTTAATTCTCCTACAAATACTAGTATATGGATGATTTTAGTTGTTCGTTAACTTTTATTTGCATTCCTTTATTAAAAACACCACAAATAATTTTTTACCTTTTATTTATATATTTTTGTTTTGCATCTTTAAATTATATATACCAAAAAGATTTTATTTCTGCTTGTACATTTTCTTTAGGATTAAATAATATCCTAGTACAATGGTTAAGGGATTGGACTAGTGTATTTTAATTAAAATTGAGCTAAAATTGGTCAAAAATTAGAAGCCCAAAGACTCCATGTCGTTTTGGTTAGGGGATCAAGATCAAATACTGGCCACCTATTTTCTTTGAGGCAATGGTCCAGAATTGTTGTCATTTGATGTATATAACATCAGAAAGCCGATTTTTTTGGCCTCATTTCTGTACAAGCCCAAGCTCTAGACCCCCCTATCCTCTCTTCTTCTCCTCCTATCGCCGCTTCCCGTCCCCCATGGCGGCAGCGCCGTCCTCCGGTGACCAAACACTCTCCAACCAACACCAATCTCTTCCTCTCCTCCTCATATACCCTAATCCAAGCACCAAATCCCTCGAATCCTTCTCAAACACCATAAATCTTCAAAAAATAGAAACCATAGGCGCCTATTTTTCCTTACATTTGTCAAGTTTGAGACCTCACCACCACTTAATACCTACATGAGTGTGTAGGTCGCCCCCCCCCCCCCCCGGTCTGCCGTTCTTTCTTGGTTTGAAGTCGAAACTATGGTGGCTAAATTTCGCCGGGTTGCCGGCCACTTTTACTTTGGCTCGAACAAGCCTTTCTTGTTGTTGAGTTCGTTATTAAATTTTAGTTTGATTGGAGTTGATAGTGACGGGCCAACAACAAGAAGAGCATGTCCGACGTCAAAACT